GCAGTGAGCTGTCACTGCACTGCTGCACTCCAGCCTGGGCAACAGAGCAAGACCCTGTCTCGAAACAAAAAAACCGTGTAGAGCACTGTTCTGGGATACAGTGGGACTTAGGGCATTCTGGGGCTTTCCTGTCCATAGGGCTGTTAACGAGAGTCAGTGAGTTGAAGTACAAAAAGAACTTAGAGTGAAGCCTGGCATATAGTAAGCAGTATTCCAATATTCATCTTAGCCACTGTTGTGATTTCCTAAGGATCATTAGTTAATTCCTCATCAGTGGATTTGAAATGCTCAAAACAGACATGTAATAAACCAGGATTTTTCCTTTTTCCACAAAGGTATGAGTTGAGGAACATATGAACTAGGAAGGGCAAGAGAAAAGATGCATTGAGGAGTCACGTTCATAAGACTGTATGCTTCTTATAAGTGGGCAGAAAGCTTTACACCTAAGTTTCCTGGTAGCCAGTGGAAAGAGAGAAAACACATATGGAAGGTGATATTTATAAGGACAAAATGTCCAGTGCCCAAAATGGTACCGGGTCTGGAGATGCGTACCTCCTTGTGGACCCCCTAGAGGGGAGAAGCCAAGGTTGCAGCAAGCCCCTTGCTCTTTTCACCTCTTGTCTCTTCTGTAGCTCAAAGGTCCATCTGATGAATTGTTTGTGGGCGTATGTTTGATATCACTGGCCCTTAGTTTCTAAACAATTCTGGGCTAATGCTGTAGTCAGGTTATAGTTAGCTTTCTTCTTGATGTTCATTTAAGCCTATTAACTTGATTTGGATCCCACCAAACTACCCATAGGGTCCTGGACCTACACTGGTTTTATTTTTCTTTTGCTGATTCTAAGTGTCCATTCAACATAGAGCCTTCAGAAGGCAAGGGGTAAAGAAAAGTTGGATCCCAGCACTTTGGGAGGCCAAGGTGGGTGGATCACTTCGAGACCAGTGTGGGCAACATGGCAACACCCTGTCTCTACAAAAAATATTTTAAAATTAGCGAGGTGTGGTGCCTGTAGTCCCAGCTACTTGGGGGCTGAGGTGGGAGGATCGCTTGAGCCTGGAAGGCTGGGGCTGCAGTGAGCCGAGATTGCACCACTGTACTCCAGCCTGGGCAAGAGAGTGAGACCTTGTCTCAAAAAAAAAAAAAAAAAAAAAAAAAAAAAAAAAAACGTTGAGAAGGTGAGGAAAGAGTGCAATCGTGTTTCAGAGCCTTATAGAGCAAAGCATTTGATGACTGAGTGGATGACTTTTTAACAAGGCAGACTTCATGAACTTTTAGCTACAGGTAATTAACTCCTTTTATGTGTTGAGCACCGTGCAAGCAAATGGTGTTTTAAAAATATGCTGTGTGTATCAGAAGAATTGGTATTGGCTATACCACTAATTGTGCATACACGTACGTGTGTGTGTGTGTGTGTGAGAGAGAGAGAGAGAGAGAGAGAGAGAGAGAGAGAGAGAGAGAGAGAGAATCGAGAGAGATCAGGTTCTCTGGAGCCTTTCATCTCTGTAAGGCGGGGTTGATGGTTCTCTGCCTCTCTGCCTTCTCTCATGGGTTGTGATCAGGTACATGCCCTGTTATATTAAGAAAGTGAGCCAGGTGCAATAATGTGTACCTGTAGTCCCAGCTACTTGGGAGGCTGATGCAGGAGGACTGATTGAGGCCAGGAGTTCGAGACCAGCCTGGGCAGCATAGTGAAACCCCATATTATGCGCAAAAAAAAAAAAAAAAAAAAAAAAGTTTTGGAAGTATTCTACCCCTGTACGCTAGTACAAAGGAAGATAAGACACTGTCCTTGGGACCAAATGGAATTTAACACTAAATTGTGAGGCACAGCTTTATGAAATTTAAGGCCTGATAAGTTGCTCAGTTTCAGAATGCTCTGTGTCGCGAGGGTGGCTGAGACTCAGTTTGGGTGATGACAGCAAGCTGTAATTGACAGAAGCTGCCATCTATACTAGTCCAAAAAAACAAAATGCTAGAATTTTAAAATTATTAAGCCGCTATAAAGATTAGTCAGTCTCTGGGAAATGTCAAATAGCACTTTTCAGAGATTTTTTTTAAAAAGTCATCACAGTTAAGATGCTGCCCTTGTGTGTGTATACCCACAAGCATTCTTGAGAGTGACTGACTGGGTTAACCTGATGAGGAGTTTGAATTTCTGTAAGCTTGGAAGAAAGAAAGATGTTTTTGAGCAGCCTGTCTTTATTGGAAGAACCAGCTTTCTCTTTCTCGGGGACTTCGGGGCTGCCATGTTTGGTGTTGCTCTTAGGTTGTGCGGGGAAGCCAGACTGATTTGGGCTTTATCTGCTCAGCTGGATCTGCTTCAGGGCTCAGATGGAGCTGAGCCAAGATGAGAGTGTCTGGGCTTCCAGCTGTGTTGGCTACATCTGGTATTGAATCCCAGGAAGGAGTGTTTGTGGAGTGGCTTCAGATTTACCAGCCTCCCTGCCTCTGAGAACCCTGGGACATGTGGACTGTGGAATGCATCTCTCACAGGAACTTTGTGAGGGCGGCAGAAGGGCTGCCTCTTCTTCCTCGCTAGTCTCCTTCTTATAAACACTGACCTTACAATATGTTCATTTCTAAATGGTTACCCCATCTGGGACTTCTCTTCCCAGTGACTGCTCCTGCAGCTGGGCCCTTCCTCCCCCACCCCTTTTCTTTCTTCTCCCTGCCAGGACCTGAGTGTTGCCCCGCCCGGCCCGCGCCCCCCCCCCCACGCCCCCGCCATGAGATGCTGGGCACAGTGTAGGGCACATGCCTGCCAGCGAGAGCCACACCTTCCACCTGTCCTGCCATCAGGAGCTCTGACCTGGCCTTCCCAGCCGTCCTCAGCTGCTCCATGGGTCCCTGAGGTCCTGATTGCAATGCTGTCACTTGTAATGGGAAGTGAGCTAAGTCCTTGTTCCCCCTGCTTGAGGTCCTAGTTAGGACTCAAATCTTTGGGGTTTGATTCAGAAGTGCTTGGCACTTAGGGAGAGCACTTTGACTTTTGTTTTAATTTTTCATCTTACAAATATGTGCTCTCCAATGTAACAGCCACAGAAATAAAACCAAACAAATCCCCTATCTCCCTTGCCTGGAACTCTTCCTGTCACTTGGATGTTGGAGTAGCCTGGGAACCTAACTTATTACAATATGTCTGAGAAAAGTATTTTGAGTTGTAAACATTGGATTTAAACGTGAAGGTTTGTAACACCACAATCTGTGTTATGGGACTGCCTGCATTTGTATACTTCCAGCTTATTAACAAGATTACCATTAATAATTACCATTAATAAGCAATAAACTTACCAACAAATTAGACCATTCCTGAAAAACATTAGCACACTTCTAGCATATAGCAAACCTTCAGTAAATGCTAGCTTTTGCTGTTAGCAACACCATTGGCATTTTTGTGATGGAAAGAGTCATACTTGCTGTGCCTATGTTCATATAAATGGTCCATTTAAAAACACAAGGAAGGCTGTGATTGATTCCAAAGACATGGAAATAGGGTCTAATACTGCTGATGGAACACTGGCAAATGCTGGGAGTCATAACAATGGGCACCCAAAATCAGATCCTGAACTTCTAAGTGTAGTGTCTCTGACCACAAATGGAATTGAAGTTTATTCATTTGTCCATTCATTCAATTAGCAAGCATTTATTGAGCACTTACTATGTGCTGTGCTGTGCTGTTCAGAAAAGGAAAAGATCGCCATGGATACTCTAGGGAAGGCTTCAGCATTTATGTGGGAATTTTTAAAATAGGCAACCAGAGAGGGTGATGAGTCCAGGCTGCAGCAGCAGGAGGAGTAAAGACAGTCAGAATTATGACAGGATGTCCTGTGGCCACCGCAAGGAAATAGTTTTGTCTTTACTTCTAAACCCTTTCAGACCCTTTGATCCTAAATAACTGACCCTGACCTAATTCACCACCTTCTGATTCAGTGTGTATCATCTTGGTATGTGGCTAAAGGGGCCTGATCCAGGAGCTGGGTTCTAAATGCACTTTGGCCCTGCGCACTCCCATTTAACAGGCTTGGGGTTGAGGGCCTAGGGGAGTGGAATCCAGATAGGGAAAGAGGCATCGGTGGACATGGCCCCTGTTCTCAAGGACGCAGCCAGCGTTAGTTCTAACAGTTGGGGGGGGGGGGGGCGTGAGTGGCCCAGGTGATGACCTGTGGTTGCAAGGGGATCCCGTATGGCTCAGCATCTTTAAATTAAAAGTGACTCTTTGTAGAAACTAAGTAGGGTGATTATTGCTTCGCTCTTTGACCATGTTCTTTCTGCTTTTTTGCCAAGATGTTTACAAAAGACTTTTTGTACCTTTTTTCTGTGCTGGTTTTCTTTCTTGGAGATTAAATGTGAATTCTGCAGTCGTAGTATACCTTCTCATGCTGGTGCTTCACCTGTGCTGGGTACGGGAAGGTTTTCCATTTCGTGCCGCTGAAGAAATAATAAGTCAGTCTCTCTGGATCATCTTGAAAAGATGTTATAAGCTTTAAGGGTCAAATTCTCTGTTTGACTTTATAATTGTATTTTTGTTTCTAAAGATTTTCTCCTGCACCGTTTCTGCATTAAACATTCTGTTGTTCATTCCCGCTCCGCCACCCCCAACAAATGTTATTAATTTGGAAAGTATATTTAAAGGTTCAAAGGGATTTAATGAGACATGAATTCTTTTGTGAGTAATCTTTGTTAAAAAGAGAGGATGTATTATAAGGTTACATAAATTTACTCTTAACTCTGATACTTTTTAGACAATTTTTTTCATTATCTTCCTGTCAGACTTTCTCCCTTGCCCCTCTTCTCTGTAGAGTGATTTAGCAGCTTATTTCCCTTGGTGAGCCACATTCTTCTAATTTACCAAAATACATTGTATGGAACATACTTGGATAAAAATCTGCGTGGACCGGAAAACTTTCCATTGATCCTGGGGAGGGCAGTGTGCATGTTTTAACTCTTCAGCCCCAGCTGTGCCTGGCCTCCTTCAAAGTATTTTGGTCTTTCATTTCAGCCACAATTACAAGTTCATCCGAAAATGATGACCGGAGTGGCTCCAGTTTGGAATGGAATAAAGACGGAAGCCTAAGATTAGGGGTACAGAAGGGAGTGCTTCATGACCGCAGGGCAGATAACTGCTCCCCAGTGGCAGAAGAGGAGACCACCGGGTCAGCAGAAAGCACGCTGCCCAAAGCAGAATCCTCAGCTGGAGATGGTCCGGTCCCTTATTCTCAGGGCTCCAGCTCGCTAATAATGCCACGGCCCAACTCAGTTGCAGGTAAGGCCACACCTTTCCCTGGAAGGATTATCTCAGGGAGACCGAGGTGCCCTGTGTTCACTGTCTTCACGTGGGAAGACATTCCAGACACAAGCCAGCTTCGTGGCCCTGGGTCAGGCACTTACCTTTTCTAAGCCTCAGTTTACTAATCTGTAAACACAATAAGGCTGTACTTAATGGTTTTTAAGTGATCCTTCTACTCTGGAATTCTTTAAATCGATTACTTGGACTATCGAACTCTTGTATACAAGAGAAGAAAGTATAAAAACTCTTCTCTCCGTTTTTGTTATTTTAAGCCTTAGAAAATTCATGACTGTTTATTACCTCCTGGTAAATGGGAATTGTTGAGTGAGTTTGTTAGGATCAGCTCAAGGAACTTCTTACCAAACTTACAAACTTATTTTTGTGTAATTGAGTCCGATCGTACAGGCAGGAGGGCCAAATTTCTGTACAATTCAGTTAAAATGGAGCTCACAGCTTAAAATGTAAGCTATGGAAGTAAGAGCTCTCAATCAAGGAAATGAAAATATTCGAGACAGGCATGCTTTACCAAGATGCAGCAGCTGGAACAAAGAAGAGCACAAAGGCTGGCGACTGTCAGTACTCAGACTGGTTGCCAGGTGTGTGTCAAGCAAGGAGAATACAGTCAGTCCCCTGTATCTATAGTTCCACATCTATGGATTCATCCAGCCATGTAGCAGAAATAACCAAGGAAAAAAATCGATAAAAAATAATTTAAAAATACAGTCTCACAGTTATTTACATTGTATTAGGTATAAGTAATCTAGAGATGATTTAAAATATATAGGAGAATGTAGGTTATGTGCAAATATTACACCATTTTATATAAGGAACTTGAGCATCCAAGGATTTTGGTATCCTCAGGGGGCCTTGGAACTGATCTCCAGTGCATGGTGAAGGATGACTATAGCTCCAGATGGGTGGGGAAAGGAGCTCTCTGCATCTGAGCTGTGGTGCCTGTTTTTAAGGTTTCTACATGCCCCTGTGCTGAATTTAAAAGAGGAACTTGCTAGTCTTTCTTTGTTATCAGTGTAGCACTTAACATTTCTCTTCTACTAATGCAGGGACCCAGATTCTCTGCTCCTACACCAGATAATTTCTCTGTGATTTATACTATGCTTTCAGAATGCGGTGGGTCACTCTGGTGGTTGTTGGGTGTTTTTTACAATGGGACTCTGAAGTAGCTGATAAATAAGCGGCCCTAATGGAAAAGTTCTGAGGCATAACTCTAATTCACTTTCAAAGGAAGTGAAATGGCCTTGTTCCAGAAGAGGGATTTGGCATGTCTGCCAGAGAGAAATACTAGAGAACATTAAACGAGTTGACTGATAGTCCTTCCACAAACTTTCCTGTCCTCCCACAAACTTTCCTGTCCTCCCACCGCTGTCCCACCACTTTGACAGAGTATGTGGCACCCAAGGCGCTTTTAGACCGTATTTACCTAGTTATGATGAATGGGTCGTTTGTATTATCCCAGAACTTGATCACTTTATTGACTTCAACAAAAATAGTGAACTTGTGCTCAATTTAGTCAAGCTATTTTAAAATTAGGAAACATTACTGCCTTAATTTTAACAGTGTTAAAAGCATCCCATTTGGGGTTGTTTTCTGCTCGGTGTTCTTTATGGGTCTCCTGCCATGTGAAGTGACAGTGGGTGTCAGCTGAGCTTTTCCAGTAGGCTGCCGTGATTATAGAGCAGAGCTTTCTGATTTCTGCTGTGCGCATTCATTAGCTTCTGTGTGTGCCCTTGAGCTAGACCTCCTGTGGAATGGGAGGGTTTTACCTCTAGATTTGAGCAAAGTCTACCTGGCCTAATGGGTTTGCTCATTTCTTCTGTGCTGCATATTTTTTAAACTAAATGCGTATTTTGAAAAGACATGAGCAAAAGCGTATTCCCTGGTATCTGTTAACAAGCTAGGGGTCTGGTATATTCTTCATTGCCTCCCTTCCTGCCCCTGAAGTTGAACCTCAGTTAAGAGGAAATGGCAAGATTTTTCAAGTACCATTGAAGAGTAAGATTCAGGTTGTATAGACTCTATGCAGCTCTACTTAGTGATTAGAAGGCAGGCTGCTACAAACAGGGCAGCAGAGAACTCTCAGTGTTAGAAGAATCAGAATAATATGTGAAGGACCATATAGAGAAATCTCTTAGAAGTACTTGCATGTTATGATCCAAGTAAACAAATTGCCTTTTGGTGGGAAAGGTGTTTTGGCACATGAGGATTGGCAGGTAAAGGAAGGATGATGCCAGGCCTCTGTTCACAGCCTCCCCATGGGGCTGACCCCTAGGGGGTTGGGTGCAGAACTTCTTCCTAAAGTCCTTTACTGAGCTTGCTACCAAGAACTGGAATTGTCTGTTAACCATGTAGTACGGTGGCAGGTTTTTTTATTTTGATTTTTTGTCAAAGATTATAAAAAATAAGTTGGCTAGGTTTAAAGATTATTTCACTATACAGATTTTCTTTGTAAAGATATTTGTTAGAGTGGGATTGGGTTGTACAACTATATATCACATCAAAATGCATGATATGGACACCTCTTTGCTTTATTAAAAACAGACCTAAAAGCCATTAAAAGTATGTTTTAAATCATATAGAAGTTAGGTAATGATTTCTATTTTTTACTATTTTTTTTCCTTTCAAAGTACTTTCTGAGTGGATTATAGAACACTGTGTTTAATTTTCCAGGAAACAAGCATGATCGCTATCCAGTTTTCCTAAAACTTGTTATTTCCCTGAACTTATTGGCATGGACTTTCCATAGGTTGGTCCACAACTTTAGCAAATGTTCCTCTTTGTTGAGCTTAGAGATGTTTCCCTCTGCCTTGCCCCACCAAACCCACCCTCACCAGAAAACAAACTTTCCTCCACATCTTGAAATGTGCTTCTTATCCAGATGTTAGATATAGTGTGTGTGTGTGTGTGTGCACAACAAGTGTATCATTAATTTCACTGTAGAGATTCTAGCAGTGGGTTTATTGTTGCATGAAATTATTGCTTTACCTTTGGGGTTTTTGGGCCCTGAGTAGTGTTCAGGATTTTGAAAGCATTTATGGGTAAATACTGAATGTGAGTCTGACTTTTGCACAGGTAACATCTGAGAATCTTAGGCATGCCTGAGAGGGCAGAGTGGCCCACGTTTCCTGCTCAGAGGGTCGGGAGCACCTGGGCACATAGCTCAGCCACTGATATCTGCCTGCCTTATTCACTGGCACCTCTGTTGGTGGCTTCGAAAATGCCTCAGAAAGCTGAGATAGCTGGCAGGTGGTGGCTTATGGCCCTGCTGCAACTTTTAGCTCAGCTTAATCGTATTTGAAATTGAGAATTAGCCAAGAGCTGTGGAAGTGCTGAGGCTGCTCTGTTGCAGATTTTGGTGCCGAAGCTCTAGTGACTGGGAATCTGAAAACAGGCCTGTGAAATCTTACCATCTCCTGCATCTGTTTAGATACAATCTAGGGCATTTTTGCAATCCTTTATTTGGAATGTCTTTTCTGGTCACATATTTTTAATCCTTTCAGCTGTTATAAATTTATAAACTGTTATGTTCTAAGGAGTCAGGGGAAGAAGGGACATAGGCAACACGTTTGAGGCTCTAAAGCATCTTTGTATTCTCTAGGGCTGCAGCATTATGTCAGATGTTCATGACTGTTCTGGCTCTGAAATGAGTTATAGATTATGAATATGGCTGCCTGCCCCTTCTACCTGTGCCTTAGTGGGTGCATTTATCATGAGGCGTGTAAGGAGAAGGGTCCCAGGGCTCAGGCAGGAGCCTAGAAATGTTCCAAGCTGTGTTACTACAGGGAGGTAAAAAGGTTGGGGGAAGACAGTGTAGTCCTGTTGGCCCTCCGGGAGGTTTTATACACCCTGCTTACGAAGGACCTAGAGAGAAGCTAGAGGCTGCCCTTGGATTACTATACATTTGATCCATTTAAAAGCCCTGACAAGGAATTAGCCGAGGCTTTCTAATGGGAAAGATTTGTGTGGTAACTGGCAATGTGCACAGAGTATTCACCTAAATGTGTATACACTGTGGATATGCACCAGGAGGATACAGAGGCATCGGTGCATGCTGTCGTGAAGTCAAGGTTTCAGGTGTCTCTTGCTGGCTGGGAGGATGAGTAGGCAGGGCATGTGTTGGATTGCCCGCTGGAGGATGCAGTGAGAGGGGATATGCCAACACAGTCAGGCCTGGAGCCACCCAGGTAGCTGTTGAATGAAGGAGTGAGAGAGGATGATATAGACAGTGAGGAAGAGAAGGACTGAGATCTTAGTGGGGGGAAATAGGAAGGGTGCAGGTAGGATGGATGGCACTGGTCGGCAGCTGGATGCTGGGTCAGAGCCTGTTGGGCAGCCAGAGGGTTTTCCGAAGACAAGTGGCCCAACTTGACTTCTGTCCCCTGCACCTTGGTCCCACTGAAGATGTCCCCAGTCCTAAGAAGCCTTTACCCAGGCACTATGACTCCCTCTAGGCTCTCATTTGCCCTCAAGTCACTGTATATTTTCTTGTCCTGGAAGATAATAATCTGACTAAGATCAACAGTACTTCATGTTGGGCTTAACCCATAAACCAAATTAGGTTAATTTTAGATTTTCCTCAATGTAATAACAGGAGGGGTTTTTAAAAGGCAAAAACGTATACTATATACTTGCTTCTAAGATTTCTTGAGAATTAGCAAAATTATTTTGTGCTAGTTATTTTTGTAATCTAACTTGTATGAATGTTTGAATAGATCTTTAATTTTTTTTTTTTATTTTTTTTTTTGAGACAGAGTTTTGCTCTATCACCCAGGCTGGAGTGTAGTGGCACGATCCTGGCTCACTGCAACCTCTGCCTCCCGGGTTTAAGCAATTCTCCTGCCTTAGCCTCCCAAGTAGCTGGGATTACAGAGACCCGCCTCCATGCCCAGCTAATTTTTTGTGTGTTTTAGTAGAAATGGGGTTTCACCATGTTGGCCAGGCTGGTCTGGAACTCCTGACCTCAAATGATCCACCCGCCCTAGCCTCCCAAAGTCTTGTGATTACAGACATGAGCCACCGCACCTGGCTTTTTAACGCTTTATAACAAATACTTACATGATATGAGTCTTACTGATTTGGTCAGAGGTAAACGTAACTTATTTTTAGAATTAAAAAAATACACCTATAAAATGCAGTATGATATATAATGTTTATATAAGTCTACACATATTCGAAGCTTAGGAATATGATTGTACTATTACTACTGAGCCAACTTTTAGTGTTCTGGGTGCTGTACAGAATTGTACACATAGAATCTGCCCATTTAATTAATAAGTTTGGCATTCCAAACAGCGGAAAGCTCCCCAGAGCTGCAGAGAAGAATCTAGCAGCATGCCACCTGCTTGTGGTGTAAGTACTGAAGCTTTGCTGTGTGCCACATGATTGTCAGATTTCTTCATCAAACAATTTATGGTGAATTCTGTCTCTTTCCAAGAATAATGGAGAATTCTGGCAACTCAGTCAACATAACTTTAAGAAAAAGAAGCACTTGGTTTTTACCACTTTTCAATGGATACTGCCAGAAAAATAAACTGGGGCAAACAATACCAAAATGACGTTTAGGTAAATTTTGTTGAAAACCTGAACTGAATTGCTTAGTGATTTATAAATTATAGTCACTTAGGTATGAAATTTAAAGTCACCTTTGAAGATCCTAAACTTCAGTTTAATATTACAGCAACAAGCTCAACCAAACTGGAAGATCTGAGTTATTTAGACGGGCAGAGAAATGCTCCTCTACGGACGTCAATTAGATTACCGTGGCACAATACGGCCGGAGGTAGGGCACAGGAAGTTAAAGGTATTTATCCTCACATCCACTGCAATAATGGTTATGATGAACTCAATCAGTGACTTTGAAAGTCTGTGATAACCAGCATTGAAGCCAACTGTGTTTATAACATGATGGAAAGTGTGTGTGTTTGTGCTAAAAGCATATCTGTGAGGTGGGCTAAGAGGTCATCCTCAACGGTTTGGGGCTTCTTCCTTAAAATATGTGATTAACTTGCTTCTGGAATTGAAAAAATAATTCTGCAGTAAGTTATTTTGAAGTGAGGGGTAGTTTAACACTCATTAGGTGCTTATTATTAACAAAGTATAAGCTTTGTTTCAATTCTTGGACTAGGCTGGGCACGGTGGCTCATGCCTGTAATCCCAGCACTTTGAGAGGCCAAGGCGGGTGGATCACCTGAGGTCTGGAGTTCAAGACCAGCCTGGCCAACATGTTGAAACCTCGTCTCTATTAAAAATATAAAAATTAGCTGGGCATGGTGGCAGGTGCCTGTAATCACAGCTACTTGGGAGGCTGAAGTAGGAGAATCACTTGAACCCAAGAGGTGGAGGTTGCAGTGAGCTGAGATCATGCCATTGCACTCCAGCCTGTGCAACAAGAGTGAAACTGTTTCAAAAAAAGAAAAAGAAAAAGACAAAATCCCTTGGACTGTATTGGCGATGTTCTCTGTCTGCCTGTAACACAGTTGTGTGAGGTATACAGCAGCCTCACCGTACGGGCAAAGTGTCATCACACCTGGATGAGAGCAGAGCCCTATTTCTAGGGAAAACATGTTTCTGTTTTATTCATATAGCAGGGAAGAAGCACGACTTAAATGCAGTTCCAGATAAACCCATGAGACATGATTTGGCCCCTTACATGGCTTTCTGTAATCCTCTTTGTCCTTGAGTCCTGAGAATAACTCAAAGCCATGACCAGACTAGAAAGTAATTTCAATAGGAGACTCTGTAGTGTCCTGTTGGTCCAACAGGGTATGATAATTGAGGTGTTACAGAAGTATTAACAGAACCAGATTGGAAATGCTTACAGACAGATCCTAGTGGGGGTAAAGCTAAGGATTTAATGTAACACATAAGCAATGATATTTGAGTTTCTTAGTTTATAAAATTATGACATTTTTCTAAAATAATGTTTCTTTTTTTCTTTTGAAGCACGATTTGCTCCCTACAAGCCACAAGACATTTTGTTGAAACCCTTGTTGTTTGAAGTACCAAGCATAACAACAGACTCTGTGTTTGTGGGACGGGATTGGCTCTTTCACCAGATAGAAGAAAACCTGAGGAACACAGAACTGGCAGAAAACAGAGGCGCGGTGGTGGTTGGCAATGTGGGGTTTGGGAAGACAGCAATCATTTCCAAGTTGGTGGCCCTGAGCTGCCACGGAAGCCGCATGAGGCAGATTGCTTCCAACAGCCCGAGTTCATCACCTAAAAGTATGTGTGTGTTTAATTACATGTGTAGTTTATTAACATAAGATAGATGGAGGAAATTGCTGTTCACTTAGACATAAAATACCAATTTTCTTCAAGTTGTTGCAGCTACTATATAGGTTTGCAATCGTGTGAAGTAAACTATTTGAATACGTCCCTCTGTCATGATGTGTATTCAGCTATAAGCTGGGGCGTGGCCAGTGTTCCCTGATGTCCTCCTGAACTGTAACCCCTTCTTCCTTTAGATACAGGCAGAGTTGGGCCAGTGAGGCCTGATCAAGTGCTCTGGACAGTTTGGGGCCCTGAGAGCAAGGAGTTGGGCTCCTGGCAGAACAAGCTCAGATGGAGTCTAATGTGGAGTTCTTTTGGCACATTAGAACCTGTTTGGCACAGCCTTCATCTTCTGTATTGGATTTTCCAAAATTATAAAGACATAGGACAGAGTAGCCAAATGTTTGACTATTTACTGTTTATTTCATATGCAATAAACTCACTCTAAACATGGTGAACAAGTGAATCATGCGAGATTTTTAAGACCCAAAAGAATTTAATAGGTCAGGCACAGTGGCTCATATCTGTAATACCAACACTTTGGAAGGCCGAGGTGGGAAGATTGCTTGAGCCCAGGAGTTTGAGAGCAGCCTGGGCAACATAGGGAGACCTTGTCTCTACAAAAAACTAGCCAGTCATAGTGGTGCACGCCTTTTGTCCCAGCTACTCAGGAGGCTGAGGTGGGAGGATCGCTTGAGCCCAGTAAATCGAGACTGCAGTGAGCTGGGATTGTGCCACTGCACTGTAGCCTGGACGACACAGTGAGAGCCTGTATCAAAAAAAATTTTTAAATGCCAGGGACGGTGGCTCATGCCTGTAATCCCAGCACTTTGGGAGGCTGAGGTGGCTGGATCGCCTAAGGTCAGGAGATCAAGACCAGCCCGACCAATGTGGTAAAACCCTATCTCTACTAAAAATACAAAAGTTATCTGGGCGTGGTGGTGGGCGCCTGTAATCCCAGCTATTCGGGAGGCTGAGGCAGGAGAATCACTTGAACCCGAGAGGTTGAAGTTGCAGTGAGCCAAGATGGTGCCACTGTACTCCAGCCTGGGCACCAGAGCAAGACTCCGTCTAAAAAAAAAAATTTAATAGAGGAAGCTGGAAACAGTAGATGGCTGTTCTCCAGGGAGGCGAACCTGTGCTGTCATGTGGACCTCTGAATTTTGGAGCATGTTCACTCCTTACTTATTAAGATATGCCCTGGGGCGAATCAAGAAATATAGTCAACACCCCACCCTGCTCCTACTATGATGTACATAATGAAATGGGTCTTTCTCTGCAGCTTCTGACCCCACTCAGGATCTTCCTTTCACCCCGCTGTTTTCACCGAGTTCTTCCACAAGTGCTTCCAGCACAGCTAAAACACCTCTTGGGTCTGTCAGTGCTGAAAACCAGAGACCAAGAGAGGATGCAGTGAAATATCTTGCTTCTAAGGTAAGCTCTCTTGTTTTATGGGAGCCTTCCAGATAGAGAGATTTGCTAGTTTGGTCTCTGAGAAGTAAATTGGAAAGGGGAGCTTAAAACAGAGACAACTGCTTAATGATAAAGTATAGCTTTTGATGAAATAGTGATTAAGTTATCCAAGTAAAAGTATGAATGACAGTATCTGTCTTAAGACATTGGCAGTGGACTTGATCCATGTTAAACAATGGGTTGAGAGTTCCTCAAGGCAGCAGAAGGTAGCATGTGCACTCGCCACAAATCCATGCTTACCTCCATGTGCTCTTCTTAATTTGGTATGTGAGCAGGAAATTGGGAGCTTCTGACTTGACCCAGACCTCTTCCCCTGCACTCTACTGCCTGAGACCTTTGGTTCCCTCGGCTTTGTGACTGAGGTTTCTCGTGAACTTGTAATACAGTCTTCCTTGGCTGGCTTTCCCTTCTTAAATTCATGATCATCAAGATCTTTCTGAAGTTTTTCTTCTGCTCAGCACCCATCACTGGCTCACCAGCCGCACTCCTGCATTAAAGCAGTTACTTCCCTTGCTTCTAGTGGGCTGCTTAAGTTTCCCTGGCCAGTGGTGGTGTGAGTCAGTGGAGCTGGAGAGCTGCTGGAGCCAGCAGCCATGGGGACACATTGTGAGGAGACCCTGCGGGGAGGTTGGTGAGAGCAGCTGAATAGAATCCTGTTCTGCACCAGATCCCTGTCCCTTCTCCTTCCTGGATGATGACTGCTCTTGGGACCGTCAGCCCTGATGCTTCTGACCACTGGTTCAGAACAGTCCTCTGGTCATGGGTGGGTAATTTGAGATGAGTGATGTAGTGCAGGCTTCAAAGCCATCCCTGCTTACAGTGATTTTCAAACTCCATTGACTGTGACCCACATAAGAGAGACATCTAACACTAGTGATCACTCACACATAATCGCCCACATAACTAAAGCATTTTAGAACTATATTTATTCTTATATTCTATAATATACTCTAGTATTCCTGAGTTTATTTTTAAAAAATTATGGCTCTAAATTGATTTCATGCCTGTAATCCCAGCACTTTGGGAAGCTGAGGCGTACAGATCACTCCAGTGGTCAGGAGTTCGAGACCAGCCTGGCCAACGTATTGAAACCTCGTCTCTACTAAAAATACAAAAATTAGCTGGGCGTGGTGCCGGGCACCTGTAATCCCAGCTACTAGGGAAGCTGAGGCAGGAGAATCGCTTGAACCCAGGAGACGAAGGTTGCAGTGAGCCAAGATTGTGCAGCTGCACTCCAACCCAAGCAACAGAGCAAAACTTCATCTCAAAAAAATAAAAAATAAAAGTAAATAACTAAATAAATAGATTTCATGACCCACTGTTGGGTCATGGAAAAAAAAGCAAAGCTGCTTTTGTGAAACGCCGTGCAAGACTGTGGTACTGGACATCTCATGATGGTTTGCACAAGCTTACAGGATGCTCACGTGTATCCCTGCTAATTTCTGTCCAGGTGAGAGTTGGAGAGCAGCCAGCTTTCCTCTGAGTGTTGACGATAAATTTAATCTAAACCAAAAGTCTCATGGCAGCTCCAGGTTGGCCAGAGGAAAGCTGTTGCACATTTACTTTTGCCACTTGTCTTTTAAAGAGTCTGCAGACCTGGGATCTAATCCCACATCCTTGACTATCTGTGTCAGGTTGGCAAGGCATCTAACCTCAGTGTCTGGTGCCCTCAGTGATGAACTGTGGCTAGTGGTTCTTGTCCTACTTCCTGCAGGGTCTTGCCGCGTCCAGTGGGACAGCAGCAAGGCAGATACTTCCAAAAAACATGTATCTCTTGGCACAAGTGTTTTGCTCTTCTTTGCCTTCCTTACCTTGTACTTGTGTTTCTCCTATCATCCTTCTTTGGAAAAGTATTGGATTTTTCTTCTATCTACTGCATGCCTCCCATTCCCAACACTGTGTCTGGCCGTTTCCTGGCGTCCCTCTCACAAGCAGCCTGCTGATGCTGCAGGTCCCTTGGAACAGAACGATTCCTTTTCCTCTCAGTACCCAGGCAGCTCCCTCTCTCCTCCAACTTGTCTCTCCACATGATGGGCAGAGAATTGGTGATTTCGGGTTTCATTCTTCAGACAGCGTGCCTATTGAACTTCTCCACAGTGTCCCTTGATGCAGTGCGGGTGTGGGGAGGGGCCAACGTCTTGACCCTCTGGACCAGGAGAAGGAGCTGCTGTGACTCTGCAGCCCCGGTCTCACAGCCTCTGGCTTTATCATCTGCCTTTTGGGATCAGCAAAAGGGTTTCCTAAAGAGGTGCTGCTGCTCTTGAGAACAGAAGCCTAGTGAAGATGGCACTTTTTGATGTTGAGAATATTAGGATGGCTTGGAGCTGCTCTAAGCCAGGGTAAATTTTACATTTTATGAATGCTGTTTGCTTATATTCAATACAAAGTAACGTGCTGATTTTTATGCTAATCAAGATGGATTTTGTGGATGCAGTTAAAGGTTCGCAAGCCACACAAGGGAAGGAAGGAATAAATGGAACAATTATGCTAACAAATGACCCAGTCTTGGGCAATAGATGCTATGTATCTTGTTATCAGCGGACGAGCAGAGTTGTGTTCCTGTTTGAGATCGCAGAAGGAGCTGTGTGAAGAGGGTGAGGTGACGCTGACAGTTCTGCTTCCCCCTAGGTGGTGGCCTACCACTACTGCCAGGCTGACAACACATACACTTGCCTGGTGCCCGAGTTTGTGCACAGCATCGCAGCTTTGCTCTGCCGGTCCCATCAGCTGGCCGCCTACAGAGACCTTCTGATAAAGGAGCCCCAACTACAGAGCATGCTGAGTCTCCGATCCTGTGTGCAGGACCCGGTGGCAGCTTTCAAGAGGGGAGTGCTGGAGCCACTCACAAACCTGAGAAATGGTACCTCATAGCAGCTACCTACAGCCCCTCTCAGTAGTGGTACAGCATACACAGGTGGTCCCCAGAAGGCAGGTGGTCAGCGGGGCCCTGGGGTAGAAGTGAGCTGGAGCAGGGAGAGAATGTGGAAGCGTCAGTGCCCATCCGCTCCTCTTTCTCAGAACCAGCCCCATGAGGTCCCTCCTACACCACCCCTGTGGTATAGTGTTAAAAGGAGCACCCTGATAAGAATGAATGTGATGACTGAGCGGTTCCAAAGTAGTTTGTAACTGTGGGCTATTTAGATGACTTGCACCACGGAAGACTGTTGTGTATTTTGCACTCCTAAGTATCTGAGGGAATAAGTGGATTATTTGGAGGAATTTTCCAGAATATATATTTGTCAGGGCCTCTGCTCAGTTGAATTGAAACCTTAAAGTGACTTCTAAAGGTTTCCATTTTAATTTTTTGTCCCCAACAAGGTATCAGTGACCTGATGGTCCCTTCAGTTTCCCATCTTCTCTCCCCTCACCTCCTCACCTTTTGAGCTTGTTTATCTGCCCACATGGCCCCTCTGCTGGAAGGTGCTAGAGGGATAGAAAACAGATATGTCATCATTTCTTCTCTATTTCCTGGGCAGAAAATCAGCACTAATAAATAGAAAACCAGATTCTGGCTCGCGGAGAAGAGCCCTGTTGGAGGAGTCAGTAGTGTGGAGCTCTCACACTGTGTGGTTGTGTGGCTTGGGCCGGGCACTTTGCCCTGGGTTGGGGGCAGCGAGGATGTCAGTTTCCCTTCCCTGGAATCCACTAAGGAGCTCTCATGGGGGACCTAGTGACCTTTCTGGATTGGAAGTCTGTTATGTGTTCATTATCTTTGTGTAGCTCACCCCAGTGACAATGGTTTATGAAGAGCTAACTGTATTATATACATGAGTGAGATTCTGCTAACGTATGTCATGCAATATGTTTGTTTTGTGAGAATTGGTTTTCTTTTGGCTCTGTGCTCCAGTTTTCACTATAAATTTAATAGAAAATATGCTTCTGTGAAAACTGTTTCTTGTGCCATATGTAAACCTTTTTAGTTTCTAACATTAAACTGGGCACTAAAATACACTGGGTGTTGCTGTCTTAGAGAAATGTATAATTTCTTAATTTGAAAAAAATATTTTATCCTGTAGAGCAGAAAATTCCTGAAGAAGAATACATTATTTTGATAGATGGCTTAAATGAAGCTGAGTTTCATAAACCTGATTATGGAGATACGCTTTCTTCATTTATTACCAAAATTATTTCTAAATTTCCTGCCTGGTTGAAGTTGATTGTGACTGTAAGAGCAAATTTTCAGGTAACAAAGAATTCTCAAATCTTTCTCCAAGTCCCTATATTCCAATTTTACAGTGATAAATATTAATAACATAAAACTGTTGTAAACCATTCAGCTGCTTGAATTAGAAACTATGTTAAGAATTTGAAAAATTAGTCCAGAGAGCCCCACATGGGTGAAACTCTGACCTTTTTAGCTCAAGGCATATTTATCAAGATGTCAGGTAAGTTTCCTGTTGGCATCGAATTGCACATTTTCAAATGGTGGCATCTAGCCCTGGTTACCGTCATGGAGTGTATGGGGCCAAGAGGCCTGCCAGAGTTTAAACCTACTCCTGCTGGTAGTTATTTGCATGGGTTTGCTGTGGGGCTTTGTGTTTTTTTGAAGGGAAAAATGAAGGTGAAAGATTTTTTTTTTTTTTTGGAGATAGAGTCTTGCTCTGTCGCCTAGGATGGAGTACAGTGGCATGATCTTGGCTCACTGCAGCATCTGCCTCCCGGGTTCAAGTGATTCTCCTGCCTCAGCCTCCCGAGTAGCTGGGATTACAGGCAGCCACCACCACGCCTGGCTAATTTTTGTATTTTTAGTAGAGATGGATTTTCACCATGTTGGCCAGGCTGGTCTCCAACTCCTGACATCAGGTGATCCACCCGCCTCAGCCTCCCAAAGTGCTGGGATTACAGGCGCGAGCCACTGTGCCCAGCTGAAGGTGAAAGATTTTTAAGGCCTATTCTCAGAAGTCTATTTTTTCGTAAAACTTAAACATGAGGTAACATTTGCAGCAAGTGGTAGGGTGATATTTTTTCCCCTCCGTTTTCCTTCTCTCTTGAATCCTGAAATTGTATCTTAACCATTGCCTCCTTCTATACCTATCGTGTTTCAGTAAAGACTTTTAGACATTAGGTTTAGATTTTTGCCCTTTTATGATATTTATTTAAAAACAGCATTTGGAATTTTTTCATTATAAAAACTGAAATTATACCTCAGTTGAACTTGATGAGTGTGTTTTGGACATTCAATTTGTATATTTTTCAGTCTTTTTTTACACAGTAAGCACAATTTCGCAATCAGTAGAGCATGGGAACCAGGAACCTTACGTTCCTCTTCTTCTCAGCTGTGTAAGTTTTCAGAGCTTCAGATAGCATCCATGTAAAATGGGAGTGATTGTATTCTGCCCTCTTTATCTATATTGTTATATTAAATGAGCACATGCATTTAAATACTTCAGAAACAACAGTGGGAAGTCTTTTTAAAAAGGCAAAACTCTTTGCTGTTAGGCGTCAGATGTGCTTAATCTTTGGAATGGGGAAGAGATGGGAAGGGCACACGGGGCTTCTGGGAGCTGAGTATGTTTTGTTTCTGGGTGCTGTTTACACAGGTATACTTAGCGAAAATTAGTGACACTGTGCAATTGTGATTTGTGCACAAATCATATGTTCATATGTTAGACTTCAATTTAAAAGTTTGCTTTAAGAAAGCAATTAATAAAATAACATGCTGCACCAAAGTAGGCAGCTTTGTTAAGATGTGCTATCGTTGAGAGACAGCCCAGGGACCGTCTCAGATTTCCTGGTTGGGTTACATAGCCCCAGTGTTTGATGCATAAAGAAGGATGCCTTTTATCTTGGCGTCTGGCCATGTTCTTAGATGTACAGTGTTGGTTGGTGTTTGTCCTTGTTATATAAGCAGTTGCACAGTGTAAGGATTATGAGTATCAAGTCACCTGCAGAGTCTCACTGCCCTTACTGGCCCTGGCCTCGTTGCCGCTGTCTACACAGGGCTCTTACTCTGCTCGCTAGGCTCAGGGTCCTCAGATGAGGGCCTTGGGAGAGCATTTACTGATTCCATCTCCCATTAGGATTTCTTTCACATAAGCTTTTTATCTTCACCTTATCCTATTACACGTTTTAATACAAAACAATGAGTCCCTGTAATCCATGAAAATCCTCCTTGAAAGAAAACTAGTGAATCTGGTTTAAAATGCTGCTAAAATAAAAAAGGAATCTCTGTAGAGTGACACTGTGGGTTTTTGTTTTTTTCCCCCAGGAAATAATAAGTGCACTGCCGTTTGTCAAGCTTTCCTTAGATGACTTCCCAGACAACAAAGACATCCACAGCGACCTGCACGCCTATGTCCAGCACAGGGTGCACAGCAGCCAGGACATCCTCAGCAACATCTCCCTGAACGGCAAGGCTGATGCCACGCTCATTGGAAAAGTGAGCAGCCACCTGGTGCTGCGGAGCCTGGGCTCTTACCTGTACCTCAAGCTCACCCTGGACCTCTTCCAGAGGGGCCACTTGGTCATTAAGAGCGCCAGCTACAAGGTGGTGCCTGTGTCTCTTTCTGAGCTCTATTTGCTGCAGTGCAACATGAAGTTCATGACCCAGTCCGCCTTTGAGAGGGCACTTCCGATTCTCAACGTGGCCCTCGCATCCCTCCACCCCATGACAGACGAGCAGATCTTTCAGGCTATTAATGCCGGCCACATCCAGGGGGAGCAGGGATGGGAAGACTTTCAGCAGAGGATGGACGCCCTCTCCTGCTTCCTCATTAAGAGGCGAGACAAAACCCGCATGTTCTGCCACCCATCCTTCAGGGAGTGGCTTGTTTGGAGAGCAGACGGGGAAAACACAGCCTTCCTGTGTGAGCCCAGGTATGACAGGTGCTTTCTGTCAGCTCTTTGCAGGGAATCTCGTGTGCACTTGGGGAAAGGATTTAAATGTGATGCACGTGTCTCAATGGAAAGGCAATCCAGAATGACTAATTCAGTGTTACTGCTTTGTTTTCTTATTTTTCCTCCTTTTTGGCAGAAGGATGGGCAATGGGGAATTCTCTATACAGAAGCTGCCTTGTAATTGCTAGTACTCCCTTATGGATGGTACATGTGGATAAAAGGGAAACTGGGTGGTGCCTATGTGGTCCTTCCTTGCTGTCCATTCTCTCATGGAGCCCCGTCCCCTCCCCCACCCAGCTTCTGCAGGGTCATGCATGGGAACATGTGAGATCAGCTCCCAGGAACAGGGGGCTTCTCTAAAGGGTGTTCCCTGTGTGTCTGCTAACTGTCATGGGTCCTCAACACCTCCACTCCCCCACTACTCCTTGAACATGGAGTGATTTGTCCCAGGGATCAGGTGTATCTGTGAGCCCAGAGGAAGCACCATGATCCAATCTAGCCTCCTTGCTCCACACCCCTCACCCTTCGTCAGTGAGCTCTGTGTGGCTGACTGGACCAGGCTGGGTTGCAGTTCTCCTTGCTGCCTGGGCCACTGTTATCACAGTGGGATGGGGAAGGAAGCCTGTCTGCTGTGTGGCCTCGTAATAGCGTGAGAGGTCAGAAAGTTTGAGGGTGCAGATGCTTTCAGATATATGTATGGCAAGCCCCCAACTTCCACTTGGCCCTGGCTTTGGCCTGTGTCTCTGCTGTCTTGAGTGGCTTCTGCTCTCTGTGAGCCAGAATTGCCCCCTGCTCTAGTAACAGAGCTGGCAGGCTGCTCAGCTGACCCCTTAGGCATTTGACCAGATGCTGGGATCCAGAATGAAGAGGCGAACAAGCATTGGTGAGCCCTGCGAGCCTCACAGCCACTTTCCTCCCTGTGAATATTGACTGAACATCCATCTGATAGGCCTGGCTGCTGTTCATGTTGGGGTTCTTATTATTTTCTTCAGTAACGCTGGTTGAAGGTTTGTTATCTTTTGAACCTGGTTTGGGGCAATACACTAACATCCATATGGTCTGGCTAAATGTTTCCTTATTTAGCCAGACCATAATAGCTAGGTGAAACGTGTGCTATGACATTTCTAGCCAAGTCAGATTACTTTCTAGGGAAAGTCCAGTCATTTTCTAGGAAGACTGGCTATAGTTGGGTTTGTAGAGACATAAAAACAAATTGAAAGACTCCATCAGGACTGTAGGTTGTTACTGGGTTGGAGGCTAAAGTGGCTGGGCTGTAGTCTTCATTAAGCTTCACTTCATTTTGGGTATTGGTGGGCCTTGACGTTACGTAGCCTAGGCCAGAGCTAGGGTGGGTGCCTATAGGCTCCTGAATGCCACTGTGTTCTTAAAAGCAGGTGTGGGGACATCCCCTGAGGCAGGACCCTGGACTAGGTGGAGGCATGAGAGGCACCAAGGGTACAGAATTTAAGGAAGCACCCACTCCTAGGGTGGTGCAAGTTGTTGGCATTTTCCCAAGACCCCTGTAGTATTTGAGTTTCATTCAATTGAGAGGATATAGAACAATGTTGGAAGGAAGCTACTGGATTCAGTTCAGCAACAGTTTTTGTTATATGCAGTTATGTGCAAAGTACTGTGGCAGACACAGGAATTCCTGGAACGAGGACCCTGCTCTCAGGGCTTCCTACACAGGGCAGGGGAGGCAGGAAGTGACATGCGAGAGGGAGGCACACTTCTTGTGGACCTCACAAGAGGCAGAAGCTTCCAGTGGCAGTAGAGGGGCCTGGGGAGGTGATTTTAAAAAATGGTGATGGTGGGTTGGGCCTCGAAAAATGGTAGCATTTCTTCCCCCACTCCCAATTGATGTATTTTTGCCGTAATTATAAAGGGAGAAAATTTCAACCCCCAGACAAGAACAGTTCACTTTTTATTTCTGCCGCATTTTAAATAATATACCAACCATCTTTTTCTCTTGGAATTCTTGTCTGGGTTTTTACTCGTCACAGGCATTTTACCAAGCTGTTAGAAGCCTTAGAAAAGTGTCATTTTCATTTTCCATGGTTGTGCAAACCTCCTAGGAGGCAAATTATCATGTACTTCACTATACCCTTGTTGGATTTTTAAGTTGTTTCTAAATTACTTACAAACAGAACAACCTGTCATGTCTTGGTGCCTTACAGATCTGGATTCAAATCCTCCATTGATTGTGTATTTTTCTGTGCATGAAATATATTTTAATTCTCCATGCCTGCCTTCCTTAGCTATAAAAAATGAGTGTCTTCTCACTGAGTGTTTTGGTAGCTATTAAATAAGATCTTAAGGCGATGTACTACTTCCTGTCTCTTCTTTCTTCCCTCTTATTTTTGATTATGCCCTAGGTTAGCATTCCAGAAATAGAATTAAGAAGTTAAAGAATAGTTTGAGTCTGGCCGGGTGTGGTGGCTTACGTGTGTAATCCTAGCACTTTGGGAGGCAGAGATGGGTGGATCACCTGAGATCAGGACCAGCCTGGCCAACATGGTGAACCCCGTCTCTTTAAAAAAAAAAAAAAAAAAAAAAAAAAAAAGAGCCGAGTCTGGTGGCAGGCACCTGTAATCCCAATTGCTTGGGAGACTGAGGCAGGAGAATCGCTTGAACCCAGCAGGCGAAGGTTGCAGTGAGCCAAGGAGCGCGCCGTTGTACCCCAGCTTGGGCAACAAGAACGAAACTCTGTCTCAAAAAAAAAAAAAATAGTTTGAGTTTTCATTCATATCCACCTAGACTTAAACATATTTACATTTTGCAATATTTGCTACATCTGTTTCCTTTTTTTGTTGATGTTAAATTGTAAGCATATTTTACTTTAAATAACTGAATATTCATCTTAGAGATATTTTCATACTTAACCATGCTATTACTGCACCTAAAATATTAATGCAAATTCTTATTAATCTTAAACATTTAGCCATGCTCAAATTTCTATTTTTTAGTATGTTCACATCAGAATCCGAAAAGTCCATAAAATACATTCGATTGTCTCTTTTAATCTATAGTTTCTCTTCTCATCTTTTTTTCTTTTTCCTCACAATTTATTTGTTTAAAAAGAGCAACTGGGTAGTTCGTCCTGTATAGTTTCCTATAGTCTGAATTTTGTGTCCTCATGTTGTTTTTTCATGTGTTCCTCTCACCCCTATTTCCTATAAATTGGTAGTGAAGTTTAGAGCTTGTTCAGAGTCTATGTTTTTAAACAAAGACACTTAGTAGGTGGTGGTGAGTACCTCTCTCAGGAGGTGCATGACATCCTCGTGTCTTTGTAGGCACTAGAAGCCACTGATGACCGTTTCTAAGATCCATCAGCTTTTTTTTTGGTTGCACAGGCAGTCTCATCTAGAACAGCCCCCTATTAGCTCTGTTCTCTGTTAACTCGAGAAGTGAATAGGTTGTTAGTAGGTAGGTAGAGCAAGGCTGTTGAAGACAGGAGGAGCTGTTGAACACTTTGCATCAGAATGAGGAGGCCACATTCTGCAACAGCAAATCTAGGTTGACTTGACCTTTTTTCATGGAACAGAGGAGAGGAAAGAGCTAACAGAAGGAGTGTGCAGGGCACAGAGTGTGTGGGGCCTACTGTACCAGTCAGGAGTGGGGTCTTGGGGGGGACTGGGGATAGAGACAGGCCTTGCTGACATGAGGTAGCTGTTGTGGCTTGGCCTCATGGGCAGAGTAGAGGAAGAGGAGTCAGAAACTAGGTGTGGCTTTGCTCTGGAGAAGGGTAAGAAAGGCAGGCGGTATGCAGCAGGTTTCGCAGGGACAGGGCTGGTTTTAGTTGTCAGCAGTTGAGATTGCAAGATAGCCGTCTGTCCCAGGCAGACAGGTTCCAGGGGCAGGGTGGGTCGGCAGTTTGGAGGAGAAACTGACGGTTGAAGATCTAGCATCACTGACGGAGAGGTGTCTGGCGTGACTCAGTGAGGAAGCTCATGTCATTAGAGAAAAGATAGCACTGGGCTTCCAGGGCGTGGAGGAGGGTTTCAAGCAGGGACCTTACGGATGTAAAGTGTTGCCAAGAGGTGAAGGGAAATGAGTGTTAAGAGGAAGCCATTGGATTTTCAGTGAGGGAGGAGGGTCCTGGATCCTTAGGAGACTCTGACCATTGAGTTGAGAGGAGAGAAAGGAGGGAGCCAGCATCTTGGGATGGGAGGTAGAAGGGCTTAGGGGACGGGTGGTTTTGTTTGTTTGTTTTTTAATAACACAGGAGATTGGGACATTGTCGGAAACATCACGGAAAGATAGTGCAGAGAAAGATCCATAAAGAAGGAGAAATTGGGAATGCGAGGAGGAGGGAATGGGACCTGAGCGATGGGGCAGGTTGCCTCCTCTTTGTTCCTGTGGAATCTGTTCACAGCACCCAGTTAGCTAACTTGCGTTTCGTTTGCGTGTCCCCTCCCATCGCTTAGAGCTTCTCAAGGAAGCACCTTGCATTGTTCCCCATAAAATCCCTGCCGTCAGACGTGGTGCCAGTGATAAGGTGTAGCTGTGAATGAATGAAGGAGGACTCAAGCTCTACTGGTTAAGAGCACAGGCTCTCCTATCTGACCAACTTTAATTCAAATCTCTGCTCTGTCATCTAACCATGTGGTCTTGGACAAGTTGCTTTACCTGTTCAGGCCTCTTTCTTCATGTAAGCATATGGGGGTCATAGGATTGTGCAGGTAAATGTATCAAGATAATTCAGTTAAGTTTCTGCATCTGGCGTAGAGTAAGAGCTTGATACCTGGAAGCTTTGGAAATGAACAGAATCATGAATGCAGATGATTTTAGAAGGGGATTGCTTGGTTTCAAGAACAAGAGGGCAGAGAGGAATGATGAGCAGGGTTGCAGGAGCATAGGTGGGGAACAGTGGCATGGGGAGTTGTCTCCTCAGAGAGGTGGGATGCCCTGTGCTCAGCTGGGAGCACTGGAAACCTTAGGCCCGGCCACCAAGGGGTGTGTTGTCATTACCCTATAAGGTGATACTTAGTGTGTCTTTGTGATGGACACAGTTGGCCTGGCCACAGAGCTCAGCCAGCTGGGAGACTTAGGAGGACTTAGCCTGTGGTTGGGAGAGTAGCCCGCAACTGACATGATTTGGGCCACATTGAATCCTGGGATCAGTCCATGGGTAGGACCTGGGGAGACCTTGGGGGCCTGGAGCACTAGAGAGATGCCGACAGCGGTTTCCATGGGAACAAGGGAGGAAGGGAATCCCAGGGTCAAGATCTGGGACGTAGAAGGTGTCCAGGGGATGACAGGGCATGTGCTCATGGGAAAACTTCAGGCCATTACAAGACATTGGACGGGACTCAGTGGGCAGTGTGGGCTTAAACGTCATGCCCTCCCCTGTAGTATAAAAACCGATTCCTTGGCCTCCACCTGCCTTGATTTCCTCATCTCTAACATGGTTTATAACCTATTTGAGAAGCAGGCATGCATCTGGATAGACAAATGCACTTTAAATAATGCGTGCCTTTAATCCTAGATTAGCAACTAGTAGGAGGATGCATCTGGCATAGAGTAAGAGCTTGATACCTGGAAACATTACATATATTTTAAAATATATGTAATGTTTATCTTTTCTTCCCTCCACAACTACCTGCTTTTCCGCAATCAAACTGCTCAAAGTTGACAAGATGATAGAAATGAAAGTAATTTACATTGCATAGAAGTCACTGCTATTGGAATAAGCAACTCTGTGTGTCATTTAGAAATTAATTGGCTCAGACAAAGGCATGGGGTCCACAGGAAGACAGTGAATCCTATGGACATAGAGGGCAAATGGGCAGGATGGCCCTTTCAGAAAAGGGAAATGGGCAGGATGGTACCTTCACAAAAGGGAAATGGGCGCTATTGGTTGGATGTCAACCATGTGCCAGCCACTGCAAACCCACTTAGAGGCCTTAGCCTTCTTCTCACCACAAGGACTTGTGTGCCATCCAAGCCTAGAATTCTCTGCTTTCCTGATCATGAGCTGTCTGTCACCTAGCATGGCCTGGCTTTTCTCTCCTTCCCACTGTGAGGCCTTGTCTTTTGTCTACCCCCAGTGGTGGTGATCCTGAGGGGACCTGAAGGCCAGGCCCAGGGATGGTTCTGTGTTCTGTGTCTATTCATGCATCCATCCCAGAAACACATTTGAATATTCACCAAGTGCTGGGCACTTTGCTAGGCATTATGACTCAGACGAGACCCTTAGCCTCCCAGAGTTTACATCTTTGTGACAGACATAAATCAATGACTAAGGCAATGGGTGGTAAATTGAGAGTGGGTCTGCAGTGTGGTGGAATGGGCTCTTCTGCTATGAGCCTTTGTATTCCTTCCCCTAGGAATGGGCACGCGCTCCTGGCATTCATGTTCTCGCGTCAGGAGGGCAAGTTGAACCGCCAGCAGACCATGGAGCTCGGCCACCACATCCTGAAGGCACACATTTTCAAGGTGAGATACACACCAGCTTGGGGAAGGGTTTCTTTGTTGTCATTTTGAGGTTTTGCTTTGGAGATTTTAGAGAGCTCTGTCAGCCATCCAAGAAACACTCCACGCACCTCAGCCCAAATGCAACCTCCTCCTGCCTCCCCTCTCCAAAAGTAACCACTGTTCTGACTCAGCCTGGGCATTTCCTTGCATCTTGCTATAGTTGATTGCTCAAGTGTATATCTGAGTGCTGGAGTTAAGTTTTACTTCTTCCCACCTTTAAATCTCTGATAAGTTTCTTTTTATCTAAAGGCTCCACTTTGTTCATTACTTTTTGTTTCCTTGTTATTGATTTGTCCGAGAACCTGAGTTCCTTGACCTGTGTGATTTTATACCACCTGGACTTTCTGTGTGCTTGTTTTTCATGATGCAGTTTAACATGTTCCTCTTTCCCCTGGGTTTTCACAGGCTTAATCACATTGATCATTTTTTAGGATGTCAAGGTTCCAGTTGTAAGTTTCTTATATCAGGAGGCACAGCATTTGTGTTTGCTTCTCATTTTGTGGTGCCATCAGTCATTTCTGGTCACTGCCTGGACTTATTCATTCGCAGTTACACCTGGTGATTTTTTTATTTTTTTATTTTTATTTTTTTGAAATGAAGTCTCGCTCTGTTTGCCCAGGCTGGAGAGCAATGGTGCGATCATAGCTCACTGGGCTCAAGCAATCCTCTCACCTCAGCCTCCCAAGTAACTAGAACTACAGGCACGCATCACCTTGCGGGGCTCAGATGGTGATATTCTAATTCTTTCATTTATTCTTCCTCTAATTTACTTCCAACATGGCAAAACCTTGTCTCTACTAAAAATAAAAAAATTAGCTGGGAGTGGTGACATGTATCAGTAATCCCAGGTACTTGAGAGGCTGAGGCATGAGAATCACTTGAGCCTGAGAGGTGGAGGTTGAAGTGAGCTGAGATTGCACCACTGCACTTCCAGCCTGGGCGACACAGCAAGACTCTGACTCAAAAAAAGAGAAACTCTCATCTGCCATCTTTCTCCCCAGGCACACAGTTAACCTAGTGAAGACAGGCTGGTTCCTTGACCCTTGGTTTCAGGTAGTGAAAGCTCACGTGTCCGGGCGTTCTTTGTGTGAGACCCTGTGCCTTCTGCGGGTATCTGCACCCTCTGCGGCAGATCTGCTTTCAGAGTGACCCTGCAGGTGGGAACGAGATGCTCAGGCAGGTCTGTCTCTGATTGTTTCCAGGGCCTCAGTAAGAAGACGGGAATTTCTTCAAGCCATCTCCAAGCCCTGTGGATTGGCTATAGCACCGAGGGGCTGTCCGCCGCCCTGGCCTCTCTCAGGAATCTTTATACTCCCAACGTGAAGGTGAGCAACCTTCTGCACAGAGACCCGGAGACCCAGGCCTGGCCGGCTGCTGGCTGTTCCTCCAACAGCCCTGCTTCCCTCTGCCCTGGGTGGTGGTGAGAGGATGCAGAGGAGCTTCTAATGATGTGCTTCCCTGATCATGCAGGCTTGGGCACTCTATTACTCATTCTCCCAGAAGTTTAGCTTTTCTTTGGCAGAAAGATGTGGGTGGTCAGGGCTGCTCTGGGCACATGTGGTGACTGTTGCGCAGCAGATGTGATAAGGAAGCAATTTACAAAAGAGATCAAAGATCAGAGAGATTTCTAGGGAAAATGGGTTTTTTAAGTGTCCTGGGTTACTAATCTGGACCATCTCTTTAGAGTTCATGGGAAATTAAGCCTTGATGCGCGATGCATAGAGATAAGTACACAGAAAAACAATCATCAAGGTTTCATGTACACATATTTCTGCCTATGGAAAGGATGTCAGCATGGCCTTCTGTGGAGCCAAGAGCTTCTTCACTTCTTGGTTAGCGGCTGTCATGTCATGATGTTCCACTCAGCTTTTTAAGGTAGATTTTTCTTCCTGATGTCATGTAGCCTGGGAATCTGAAGCACACAGAGGCCAAGTGGCCTATTAAGGCCACAAAGACAGTTAGTGTCCAGGCCTTTCAGCTGCAGGCCCTGATGTGCCCGGCTGCCTGTGGAAGCTCTGGGGCAGTTTAGTGAGCCAGGTCTTCCTCCTGAATCACTCACATTGTTTTATCTTTCATTTCAGCTAAGAGTGTATCTTTTTGCTTCTCCATAACTAATGAAATTCTATAATCATAAGGAAGAAAGACAAGAATAAAAATGGCAATATCTGTTTTCATACTTTAATGAATTTCTGGGCATAGAATTTATTTTAATACAGTGATAAGTAAATGGGAAACATCTGTTGAGTACAAGTTTTTAAGACAGTAAATTTAAAGGTACAGCATAATAGTGTAATGAGCATGGCCCTCCTGGGATTATAAACTTTCCTCTTTAATGTATGTGTGATTTTAAGAGTTAATCATTTTTACTTCGTTTTGTAAAACTCCAGTGTCACATCTACACCATCCCCCAAATTATTTCTATAATGTGGTTATAGAATCTTAAGTCTTTTCATTATCCTTCCGTTTCTTGTATCTTTCAAGGTGGGGGGGAAGGTTTTCACAGGATCCTGAACAAATTACAGTAATTTTAAATTATGCATGCAATTAAGGAACTTTTTTTAGAGTGTCTTAAATGTTGTCGTACAAGAATGAATGTCATTTTGAACAATAATTGCAGTTTGCCACGTTGGTAGATTAAAGTGACTTGCTCTGGGATGATTACTTGGTAGATGGATTTTAGTTGCAGTGGCATGCCAGCAGTCTCTAACCATGTCATCTCCTGTGGCCAGGCCAGGATGAGCCAGCCTGGGCCCCGCTGGCCCACTGGGGTCCCATCCAGCCAGTGGTTTTGTTGCACCATCTCATAGGCTGTGGCCTCAGGAGGATTTAGGTTGCAATTCTTTTCTCAGCTGACAACAGAAAGGAGAGGAGAACATGAGCTAGGCGTGGCCTTTGGCCCAACTTCCTTTGGCTGGGAGATCCAGTCATATCCTGCATCATAGTCGGAAAGGACACATTTAAAAACAACTGTGCTTGTGTGAGCTTCCAGTGTACTTAGTGGGAATGTTGATGCAGCCCCATGACAACCCTGGCCAAACCTCTTCTCATCCTCATGATGGTGTTGCCTTGCATACCCCCACCTCCCTTCCTGTTTTCATTAAATCCAGAAGTTGAGAGATACCACCACTTCCGAGTGTTGTCCAAGGAGAGCTTCTGTGATCATGATCGGAAAATGTCCATATTGTTGGGGGAAAATCTATAGGATTAGTTATTTAAACGGGCTCCTTCAGCGCAGTGCATTCTCAGCCAGGACTGCTGCCTCTGCTGCCTGACTGCTCTGTGACCATCATTAGCTTTGTGCTTAGCACTCAGCTCTGCCTTACTCCCTCTGAGCCCTGGCTTTCTCACCTATAAAGTGGAGACACAAAAGAGACTGTGTCTCGAGTGATGAGAAACCTTACTGAGATGTTAAAGTTACTGGGAACATACTTGGCATTTATTATGTTTACATGAATTCTTGTTAGTGCTTTGCCTCATCTCTGGAAACTGGTTCTGCTGTGGGCACCTGGGAACTTCTGGATGTGTCGGTTGGTGCTTGTTAACAAGAGCTGCCTACCTTGAGGATGTGATGGTTGCAGGTGACTTACCTCTGCCCTCAACTTGGCATGAGGTGTCCCTGCTGCTCTGTGCTGGTGAACAACCCAGGGTGGGCATGCAGGGTGATGTGGACAGGAGGGCAGAGCTCCCTCCTGTGCCTTCCAGAGGTCAGGGACATGAGTTCTTGTCGTTTCTGAAGACTCCATGAAAGGTTGATTATAACATCGATTAATGTTTATTTAGCATGTACAGGATGCTGAGTGCTGTGCTAAATGCCTGATGCACATGTACATACATACTTTTTTTACACATTGATTTTTTTTTTTAAATTATTATACTTTGAGTTCTAGGGTACATGTGCATAACATGAGGGATTGCATTGGGAGTTATACCTGATGTAAATGAAGAGTTGATGGGTGCTTACACATTGATTTTTAATCTTTATAACCACCAAGTGAAGTGAAACTTTTATCCTCGTTTTTTCAGATGAGAAAACTGAGGGCAGTTGATAACGTTCCAAAATCACACAGCTGGAAGGGTTCCTGACATTCAGCAAGCCCTTGCTCTGCAGGTGCCTTTATCACTTGATGTGTTTACAGCCCTGGCTGCCAGCTAAAATCACCTGGGAGCTCTGGGTACCACAGCCCCAGCCCCAGTTAAGTCAGAATCTCCAAGAGTGGGGCCAGGGTATTGGAAACTTTCAAGCTCCCAGGTGGTTTCAGCATGCATCAAGGTTAAGAACCATAGTTTGGGGGAAGATGATGGAGGGTTAAGTGGTAAAAACAACTACAGCCTTACACCAACAAAGGAACATGTTTTTCCCAGAAGCAGATGACGTGTGAATTGATGACATCTTTAGGAAACCTGCCCTGAGCACATGCCTTCCAGGTAAACTCTTGTAAGGGATTCATCATGGCACTCCAAGTGTACCTTCCACTATTATTAGCAAAAGAGTACCTGTTAGAATAGGATGGCATGCTGCTGTTTTCTTAGGTGGCACCTAAAGCACAGAGAGGTCGAGGAATTTTCTGAAAATCACACGGTAGGTTAGTTTAGGGGCTGGTTGAGAACTCATACCACTTAATCCTTTATCTTTTAGGCTCATGGATCTCAAGAAGGTATGGGGTTGATGGGGGAGGAAAGAATGTAACTGTCTGGCAGAATCATCCAGGGAATTTACGAATGATCCTGCCCATCCTGTGGCTATCAGAGTCTGGTGTGCCCCTTGCGGCGTTGCACGTATTGTCCAGACATGTGTATCTTCTGTGTTCCTCTTGCTGAGGACTGGTTTCATCGGCCTTAATAAAATCCTCACGTATTTCTTCAGCATAATCTGATTCTGTCCACACTAACAGTTATTCAAAGGGATTTTAAAGACGCTTTTATTATTTAATTTTAAATTTTTCTTTTTTTTGAGATGGAGTTTTGCTCTTGTTGCCAAGGCTGGAGTACAATGGCGTGATCTTGGCTCACTGCAACCTTCGCCTCCTGGGTTCAAGTGATTCTCCTGCCTCAGCCTCCCGAGTAGCTGAGATTACAGGCGCGTGCCACCACAACCAGCTAATTTTTGTATTTTAGAGACTTGGTTTCACCATATTGGCCAGGCTGGTCTCAAACTCCTGACCTCAGGTGATCCACACACCTTGGTCTCCCAAAGTGCTGGGATTATAGGCATGAGCCACCACGCCTGGCCACACTTTTATTAATGTTGTAGTGTAATGCAATCTTAAAATGCTTTTGAATTAGATCAGAGTCTGGTGGCATTTTAAAAAGCAAGCCTATATAGATCTGTAAAGAAGGCTCGGTGGGGATTAATTAGGTCATTTGCCTGAAGTTGCCCATGAAACAGCAGTGTTAGGACATGACACCCTTTCTGATCTCTCATCTGTTCCTCCACGAGTACAAGTTGACAACGAGACCCTAGAGGCTAGGTTGGTGCTCACCTGGATCTGGCTAGACAGTGGTCTCTCTGATGGGGTAAACAGCGGGGTGGTCGTCAGGTGGTCGGCTGACTCCTCAGGGCCTCCTTGTCACTTGCAAACGGCCTGTTCTTCCTTAAATGTAGGTGGCAGTCCCAGCAGTGTGAAGAACCTGATGTGTAGGCTATCCCCATCCATGGAGGGGCTCTGTTTGCTTTTCTTCTCTGTGAACTTCTGTATTGTAGAACCAGAGTCTGGTGCAGTGGACTAAGCAGGAAAACAGAGCATGCTGAGGGACAGAAAGGGCCCGGGTGCATGCACAGGTGTGTACATGGAGGCAGGGTACTCTCTCCCCTGTGTCCCGGCACTGGAACAGAACCCTGCAGGAAGTGATCCTGTGGCATCTATATGTATGGAATGGGCATTCCAGTTAGGGAACTAAAAGGGGTAGAGGCCATGAGGCTGGCCTTGCCTGGCATCGTCACAGCACATGCTGAGTCCAAGGTGGCTGCAGTGAGGGAAGGATTCTGCAGAGAAGATCAGAGAGGAAGCTGGAGACCTGAATCACATAGGGGTAAGCTTCAGTAGCCAAGACATCTTCAAATTTGACACCTGGGGTTCTAACCTGTCGCTATGCCATTGTGAGTTATGGTTTTACCACCTGGTAGTATAATTTTCCAGACCCATCTGTTTGTAAATATTCTGTTTGTCAGCTACTCTTGTGGACACGTATCACTGAAATATCCTGAATTTTTTATGCCTTGTCGTCTCTCTGTATCTTTTAATGATCCCCATGCGTCTCTAGTCAATAAATGACAGTCTCTGTGGTTTTCACATTTAGTGGGCAGGTGGAGGACCTGCCAGGCTTTGGCAAGGGCAGTGATTGAGGTGGGTCAGGACCATTGAAGTGAGCCTTTGAAAGAAACACACTGGACATCTTAACAGCTGTTAAAGGAGCATCATTTTTATCTAATGATCTGGAGATGTGAAAGAAAAAATATTAATATACCTAAAATTTGCATATGTTCAGTGATTTTATTTTAAAACCTGGAGATGTAAAGCTTTTCCCAATACCTAGATCCAAGGAGATTACTAACTGGGGAATATAGTAATTAGTGGAAGCAGCACATTATTTTCTAGCAGTGTTATGCTGCTGACAATCCTGGCACATGTGGACATTGCCATATTTTCTGTTTCTTTTAGGAACACATCCCCATAAAGTATTTGTATTTACTTTTGGCCTTATGTCACTATTAACAGCATGACTGTTTTTTTCTTTTTTAAAAAATTTTTTATAAAGATGGGGTCTTGCCATGTTGCCCAGATTGGTTTCAAACTCCTGAGCTCAAGCAGTCCTCCCTCCTCAGCCTCCTAAAATACTGGCATTACAGTTGTGAGCCCCTGTACCCAGCCACAGTTATTACTTCATTGCCAGGAAAATGAATTTCCTGGTTTTGTTGAAGTTAAACAGTGATTTTTCAAATTGTGGTTCCCCAAACCAAGAGTGTCAATATCAACGGGGAACTCGTTAAAAATGTACCACCCAGATATAATGAATCAGAAATCAGGGTGGGGCCCAAGAAATTGCAGTTGTTTAGTTTTTTTTGTTTTTGTGTTTTTGTTTTTGTTTTTGTTTTGTTTTGTTTTTGAGACAGAGTCTTGCTCTGTCCCCCAGGCTGGAGTGCAGTGATGTGATCTTACCTCACTGCAGCCTCCGCCTCCTGCGTTCAAGCGATTCTCCTTTGTCAGTCTCCTGAAAATCTGGGATACAGGCGTGCGCCACCACACCAGCTAAATTTTGTATTTTTAGTAGAGATGGGGTTTCACCATGTTGTCCAGGCTGGTCTCGACCTCCTAACTGCAGGTGATCCACCCTCCTCAGCCTCTCAAAGTGCTGGGATTACAGGCGTGAGCCACCGTGCCTGGCCATTTGTTTAGTTTTTATTTTTAATTGTGGTTAAAAAACACATAAAAGGAAATTTACCATCTTAACCATTTTTAAGTGTGCAATTCAGTAGTGTTAACAATACTCACATTGTTGTGTGATAGATCTTCAGTACTTGTCATATTGCAAAATTAAAACTCTGTATCCCTTAAGCAACAACTGTCATTTCTCCCTGTGCCCAGGCCCAGAAACCTTCATTCTACTGTCTATGAATTTGACTACTGTATATATCTCATAAGTGGTATCACCCAGTATTTGTTCTTTTACATCTGGCTTGTTTCACTTATCTCATTTCCCCAAGGTTTACCCATATTGTCACATATGGCAGGATTTTCTCCCTTTGTAAGACTGAGTAATAATCCATTGTATGTATATGTACCACATTTTCTTCATCCACTGATGAACATTGAGGTTGCATCTACCTCTTGGCTGTTGTGAATAATGCTGCAATTAACATGAGTGTGCAAATATGTCTTTGAAATCCTGCTTTCAGTTCTTTTGGATATATACTCAGAAGTGGGATGGCTGATCACATGGCCATTCTATTGTTATTTTTTGCTGTTATTTTTGTTTTTGAGACTGAGCCTCACTCTGTCGCCAGGCTGGAGTGCAGTGGTGCAATCTCAGCTCACTGCAACCTCCACCTCCCAGGTTCAAGCGATTCTCCTGCCTCAGCCTCCCAAGTAGCTGAGATTGCAGGCGTGCACCACTATGTGTAGCTAATTTTTGTATTTTTAGTAGAGATGGGGTTTCACCACGTTAGCCAGATGGTCTCGATCTCCTGACCTCGTGATCTGCCCACCTTGGCCTCCCAAAGTGCTGGAATTACAGGCGTGAGCCACCGCACCTGTCCTCTACTGAATTTTTTAATTAAATTTTTTTTTTTAATTTTCAGATCAGGGCCTTGCTGTGTTGCCCAGGCTAGAGGGCAGCAGGCTGTTCACAGGCATGATCATAGTGCACTACAGCCTCAAACTCCTGGCCCCAAGCAATCCTCCCACCTCAGCTTCCTGAGTAGCTGGGGTTACAGCCACGTGCCTGGGGCAGTAGTTCTATTTTTAATCTTTGAGGAACCATCTTACTGTTTCCCAGTAAGCTACACTATTTTACATTCCCACCAATGAGAATGTGCATTGTTAATGTATTCCCAGGTGATACTGGTGCACATTCAAGTTTGAGAACCACTGGATTAAAATGATACTGAAAATTGAGAATACTGCCCATTTCCGTAAATGTTTAGATGACATACATGTGACAGTCTTGTTGGGGGGCCTTGTCCAACAGGTGAGCCGTCTCCTGATTTTGGGAGGGGCCAACGTGAACTACAGGACAGAAGTGTTAAATAATGCCCCAATCCTGTGCGTCCAGTCTCACCTTGGCCACGAGGAAGTTGTCACTCTGCTCCTGGAATTTGGTGCCTGCCTGGACGGAACATCGGAGAACGGCATGACTGCCCTCTGTTACGCAGCAGCTGCCGGCCACATGAAGCTGGTGTGTCTGCTGACCAAGAAGGGAGCGAGGGTAAGCGGCAGCCTGCTCTTTTGGGGCTCGGGCAGGGAAATGGCTTCATCTCATTGCTAGAATTGTTATCTGCTGGACCAGACTCTCTTGTCTCTGAAACTATAGCATACACAGAAAGGGTCGGGCTCCCGGGATTGGTCACTTTGTAATGTGCCTGACTGGGGCAGCCTCAGAGAGGTGTGTTTGCTCATACATAGCAACTCTGCTTCATGTTGTCCAGGGGAAGGCAGAATTCCAGGGAGACTCTGGATCCTAGCCACATAAGGAGGGCCAGCCTTTAAAAAGCCTGCAAGTATTGACCTAGAAAGCACCGAGATTGGTTTAAAATATTTTCAATGTTTGCTTTTTTCCCCTTTCTTCTTCTTATCCCATTTTATGTCCTTTTAAAACAGTAAGATGAATTCCATGAACTCATGAAGAAGACATGTCCCTGAGCTGCAGGAACTAGATTGCCTGGAATCTTCATCTGTTCACTTGCCAGCTCTAGGGTATTGGGCAAGTTATTGAGCCTATATACGACTCAGGCTTCTTATCTGTAAAATGGGCATAACAGCAGTCCCTACCACAGGGCTGTCGAGTAAGCATTCAGTCATATATGAAATAAGTATGTATTACTCTACAAGTTACTCTAGAGTCGTCAGCTTTCTTTTTTGTTTTGACAGAGTCTCACTGTCGCTCAGTCTGGAGTGCAGTGGCATGAGCTCAGCTCACTGCAACCTCCCCCTCCCAGGTTTAAGTGATTCTCCTGCTTCATCCTCCAAGTAGCTGGGACTACAGGCACACACCACCATGCCTGGTTAATTTTTGTATTTTTAGTACAGATGGGGTTCACCATGTTGGCCAGGCTGGTCTCAAACTCCTGACCTCACATGATCTGCCTGCCTTGGCCTCCCAAACTGTTGAGATTATAGATGTGAGCCACCACGTCTGGCCAGGAGCTGTCAGCTTTAATAGGGTGAATGAGAATGATATCGGGCTCACAGTAAATGTTAGATTTACTGGAAGCAATTTTTTGGGAAATGTGTCTTTTGAATAACAATAGAGATAAACTGCTAATTATCTTTTATCTTTTAATTAGGATATTTAAAGTTCAAAAAAAATAGGCTTATAACAGCTATGGGAGCTTTATTTTTTTCTCTCCAATCCAACATTTGGGACATACATAAACTTCAGTTCATGGAGAAGGGAAATGTGTGGCTAAGCCTTTGGGGTGGGTACGTTACTGCTGCACATCACTGCACCTCCATTTACGGATCCCAGCTGTGCTTTACACTTTATTCTGAGGCCAGCAGGCCTCCCCCCATCACAGCTGAAAGCTCTGGAGTAGGAAGCTGAGTGCTATTTTGGGGGGCTCTGGCAAAGCCTCTGAATGAGGGTACAGGGCATCCCCAGATTTGGCAGGCATGCAAGGCTAGGCCCTGGGCTCCACTCCCAGGCCCAGTACTCTGGGGTTTAGACAGGGCATGAAGGGCTGCCACTGCTTTGGGGCCTTGAGGAGGTGTATGGCACTCACTCACTTTTTCTGCCTAGCTGGCCTGCCCTGACTTTGTGGCCACCCCCCCTTTACTTGCCAGCATGCCCAGGCCACCGACCTGCATAAGGCCTCCTTCCCAATCAGATGCCACTTGGACTCTTTTCCTGCCCTTCCACACTCAGCTGATTTTCCACATCCCTCTCTTTCTTTGGATCCCCTGGCTCAGTGACCAGAGAGCGGCTTTTCTCCCCCAAATTATAGCTTGTCACAGCAGACTTAGAATGCCCCACCCAAGCTACCAAAGTCAGGAAGTACAGGGCTTTGTCCGAGGGTTTAGTGTGTGTCTCCATACATACTCACAAGAGAGTTAGGAGTTTTGTGTAGTTTGCTGCAGGGACATGGGATTAAGGAGAGAGTTTTGTGACCGAGTCTTGCAAAGGGAACCTGAGGCCTGGAATGGTACATTCATTACTGTCTGGAAGTAATCCAGACTAAGGTTCTATGTTCTCCAGAAAGACAAGTCAGAATGTGAACCCCATGTATGCTTACAGGGAGTGGGGTTTACACACAGTTAGGCTTATAACAGCTATGGGAGCTTTATTTTTTTTCTCTCAAATCCAACATTTGGGACATACATAAACTTCAGTTCATGGAGAAGGGCAATGTGTGGCTAAGCCTTTGCGGTGGGTACGTTACTGCTGCACATCACTGCACCTCCATTTACAGATCCCAGCTGTGCTTTACACTTATAACAGCTTATGGTGTATCCGCATGCTCAGAGGGAAAGTAGTGCTCAGCCATAACCTTCCCCCACTCCTGCCCCCAGGTGGACCACTTGGATAAGAAGGGCCAGTGTGCGCTTGTCCACAGTGCCCTACGGGGCCATGGTGACATTCTCCAGTACCTGCTGACCTGTGAGTGGTCGCCAGGTCCTCCCCAGCCAGGCGCCCTGAGGAAGAACCACGCCCTGCAGCAGGCACTGACCGCAGCCGCCAGCATGGGCCACAGCTCGGTGAGTGGGGCAGGGGTTTCCCCACTGGGAAACTAGAAGCTGTAGCTCAGCAAGTCAGTTGACACACCGAAGGACTGAAAGAATGAGGATTCCAAGAACTAGCAGTTGGCATTGACCACCTGCAGTAGAAGGTCTTCTACGGGCATCGCATTCTTCCCATGAGTGACAGTGCACCCTCCTGTGCACATGTGATGGGGACAGGCAGGCTTGTTCTTCTGTGGGAAGCCTTTTGATGACATTAACTCTCAGCTCTTGCTCATGTCTCTCCCCCTTCCCTGCTCTGCCCTCTAGACCTGCTGTTTTACATTTTTTCCCCTTTGATTCATTCTTCTGTCCTTGTGTTCATTTAAAAATAATCACATAGAATCCTGATTCTAAAATCGTTCCTGAGTATTTGAAGGATTTTTAAAAATAGAACTTTAATGCTTTGATAGCACGCAAGAATGCTTGTCATTTACAGCTCCTCCACTGAATGAAAACTCCATGCGGTAGTTAAATAGAGCATTTATTTCTGACAGATGTTGGTATTCCTCAGTTTGAAGATTTAATTGTCAACCTCCTGACCTGTGTGTCTTGGCTTTCTTTATCTGTGAATTTAATAACGTTTTGCTCGCGCCCTCCTGTGTATTTCTCACTCTGAATTATCTTCAGGCAATTAGAGGTGCCAGTATTTGGTAAGATTCTTTTTCTAAAATGACTTTAGTAAATTTGAGTGCGAAGCTGGCTGGCTGACTTTGGCATTCAAAACTCATGGGCGGACACACACACAAGCATGAAATAGTGGCTGGCTAATTTCTGGCATTTAAAACATTAAACACACACACACACACATATATATACACACACAGAGAGAGACTGTTAAACACACATATGAAAATATAGATGTTTTCCTTTTTTTAAGTGTGAAAAGTCGTCATTGGAAGGACCATGAATGCCTAGGAATGACCTTTGTCTTAACCCGTGCAAACCCCCTTGTTTTAAAGCTTGTTGGGAGGAAATGCTGAGCGAAAACCACCTCAGCACAGCCAGTAGGGTGAAAAAAGCAGGGTTTGTTCACCACAAGACTTGGATGGTTTGTTAGTTTCCTAATGCTGTTATTACAAATGGATGTAAACTTAGTGGCTTAAAGTAGCACACACTTACTCTTAGAATTCTGGAGGTCAGAAGTCTAAAATCACACTATTGGGAGGCCAGCCTTCCTTCTGAAGTCTCTAGGGGAGAACCTGTCTCCTTGCTTTTTCTCACTTCTTGAAGCCACCTGTATTTTTTAGCTCGTGTACCCTTCCTCCATCTCCAGAGTGCCTTACTTTCATCTTAGCCTCTGTCATCTCATTTCCTCTGTCCTCTGACCTGGACTCCTCCTGTCCCTCTTAAGAGGATGGTTGTGATTTATTAGATCAGATGTGTATCAGATATAGACCTTGATGATTTGAGATAATCGCCCCGTTTCAAGGTTCATAATCACATCTGCAATTCCTTCTTGCCCTGTAAGGTCACATTCGCAGGCTTTGGGGATTGGGATGTAGACATCTTTGGGGGCCATTATTCAGCCTACCACAAAGGGTGTGGGCTAGGAGACTGGAAGGTGGCTTTGTCATGTTCTCCCATTGCTTGCTGCTGTTGCTCAGGGTGAACTCTGGCTCAGGTCCAGGGCACAGATGCTTCATCTCCCTGCAAGCCAGGATTCCTGCCTCCATACCTGTGACCTGACCTACCCTTTGACAGGAAGAGTCTCATAAGGGAAAAAGAATACTGCTACCAGTAGAAAATGTATTTGAACCATACTTTGTAAAAATTTTGAAAAAGGTATATTGCCTTGTTTTCCTTCCTTGTGAAAAATTGATTCACTATCTTGTGATTTATGCAGAAACTGCACTTGGTGTGATCTGCCGTGTCCTTTGTTGATGAGGCTGGCATATTTGGGTCATGTTGGAATTCATTAGAATTCTGAGTACCTAGTAATCCTGAACCATGTTGCTGAAATTCAGAGATTTTTTTTTAATTATTCTTCAACTGAAAGTGTGAATAGCATATGAATTATGCTTCAAAACAGTTTTCATTATATTTTTCTCTCCTTGTGTAGCGTGAGATAATGGTTAAAAAACAACACACTCTCTCCTTTGATACATGGGCTATATCATAAGCACCTCTTGCTATGAGAACTCATTAAATCACCTTGGCACTTCTGACAGGTGGTCCAGTGCTTGCTGGGGATGGAGAAGGAACATGAAGTAGAAGTCAATGGCACCGACACATTGTGGGGAGAAACAGGTAATTATAATGCCACTGCTTGTAGTCTGGGGCAGCTTGCTTGATGTTTTAGCCCTATTTTGGCCTAATTGTCTTAAGAATGACTATGATGTATGTAGTCCTATTTTTATTTTATCACAGGCATTTGAAGTTTAGAGCTCCTTGAACTTTCTAAATGAGTAGCAAAACTTTGCTGGAAGCATAAGATTTTATTTTTTAAAGCAATCCTGTTAACTGATTATTTTGAATTAGACCAGCAGTTACTATGCATCAGATGAATGTCAGGTGGAAGTACCTAAGTAAGGTGTTTTCTGGCTTGCCGAATCTCACACATCTCACCAATGTGATCTTCCTGTGACCTGCGCACAGTGAGCTAGGCATGAACTTTTATCCCCATTGTCACACGAATCAAAGGCGGCTCAGCACAGAAGGCAGGAGTGGCCTGCCCTGCCCTATATAGAATGAGGGTAAAACTCAGCCTCATGGGGTTTACTCACGTTACCATACAAATGCAGGCTATGAAGTCATTTCCATTGGTCTTTACAGTGAGAAGCCTGGGCACATCCTGGTGAAGATCTGAGTTTGTTACTTGTGAGACTAAATCAGTAATGCTGCTTTCCAGTCTTCCGCTTGACTGGACTAGTGTTAGGAATCTGAGACTTTAAATTACAAGTTGTTTTTAAATAGATGTCAGCAAGAGTATTTAAAATGAATTTCCAGGTTATGTTTCTGTTGTGTACCTGGTATATAGTGACTTCCATTTCTCTTGCACAGATTTGTTTCCAAATGCTCCTAAATTGTTTCCTAACAAGCCAAATGGTGGTGTGGAGAGCTTATTAGATAGCTCACTCTAGGAGAAAGCCACAGAGCCTCACCTCCTGGCAGGAGTGCAGGCCTGTCCTTCAGAGCCTCAGAGCTGTTTGTTCCATCCCCATTGTGGGCCCAAAGAAGGAGCTGGGTGTGCTCCCAGGTGCAGAGAAAGTACAGAATTCCAGCGGAGTTGGATTATGTCTACGGGTAAAAGTATGTGGATTGAAATATTGCCTAATTCTTTATGGAGTCCTCCCCCTTCCCTTTTAAATAGTATAGGCTGCTCTATCATTTGGTGAAAGAAAAGTTTCCATCACATTCCAAATGATGTGGTGGGCAGGAGTGTTGCTGAGTGGATAAGAGCATGACTACTGACAGCCAGAAGGTCCAAATCTCTGTTCTTTCATTGCCTAGTGATAAGAGCCTCTTGGGGTACTTGGGCTTAGACATTCTGATTCACTAGGGGGAAAGCCCAGCATGTGATTTTCTTAACAAGCATCCCAAGTCATTTCAGGTGACTCCTAGCGCCCCGCAGAGCTGTCTAGAAAGCCTGACATAGAGTGACACACAGTGAGAGGTACCCGTGAAGACGATGGACATCAGGTCTAGCAGCCATGACATCACACATTTAGCTTAAGTGAGAATTTCTAACCTTTAATATTCAAGATGACTTTTTTATTTGGAAGAAAATTCCAGAAAAGGGCTGATTTTTGAAGGCTTTGTGTGAGCTCTGTTCTCTCAATGACCAGTCCTGAATTGCATTATCCTCCTGCCTTGAGAATCTGCCCATCAGTTGATGGCTAAAGAGACACATGAGAAACAACAGACTTCCCACCAGTCTTTATCTAGATCAGAATTCTTGGCAGTTTGGCTGGATTCTCTACTTCAGGATCTTCCCAGACTCCTAATTGGGTATTGGCTGGGGCTGTGTTCTTCTCGGAGACTCCACCGGGAAAAGACCGACTTCCAAGCTCTCAGCTGCTGGCAGAATTCATCTCTTTGTAGTTGCCCCTGGGTCTTAATGAGAAGGTAAACAGTAACTTGGCCCCTCTTTTCCAAAGCCTCATGCATAACCTTCAAACCACTTTGCAACCTGGGAAGCAGTTCACACTCTTCCTCACCAGACATCAGGGTGAATTTCATGAGGCAAGAGTTTACTTGAGACGCTTGTTAAAATGTAAACCAAAAAGAAGCAAGCTAAGTGCTATTTTTCAGGCTAAAAGAGCCACAGTGGCTCTCTGTGGACTGCATCTCAACCAAATCCACCTTACCTTCTCTGTGCATTTTTCTGTCTGGTACCTTTCTCTTGTGCTCCTTCAAAGACAACCACTATCGTCTACTGCCCCAAGCCCTCCTACTTTCCAGGCCTGCATTTGTCAGAGGAATACCTTGAAATCTTGCAGGGGGTTTCAGCTGAGAGAACATCTGCAAATATGGGTCTTTACACAAATGTATACTACATGCTCCGGAATGTGACATCCGTGTTTGGGATTTGGCCACTTGGGGTCTGTTACCAACCCTAAATGTAGGAATGAAGGCAGATGAGGCATCGTACAGAGAACTGAAGGCCTTGGTAAGGATCCTGCGAGTGAATCGGTGAGCTCGCAGTCCTGGTTCTCACCAAGGCTCAACTTCAAGCCATGGGCCCTGGGATTCCCCAGCCTGTGTGACTGCACTGCTGTGTGTATTGTTGCTTGTTGCTGTGGGGACCCACAGAAGGGAAAGGAGTGGTTTTGCATCCTGTTCTCATTTGGTCCTCATTCCTGGGTGTAGTCAATGGTGTTTTGGGTCCAAAACACTCTAGGATGAACCTTATCTGTCCCTAGCCACAGCATAAGGATAGAATCCCAAGAGTAATACCTATCTGGGATGTGGGAAGGTGGCAGAAAAACTGGAAGCTTTGTGTGGATAGCAGTTCATTATTTCTTTTGAAACCTTAAGTATGTTTACAGAAGTCTGCCCAGCATAGATTTAGCTGTGAACAGCTTGGCTTTAAAATGCTAGCTGATGAGGTGACAAGGCAGAGCTTCCTCTTCTGTTTTGACTCATCTGCTGGCCTTTGGTTTTCCTGCAGGGACACCCCTGTTAGGAGGACAGCTACCTGCCCATCTCTTCTCTGCCATTGCCAGAGCCAGTGGCACTGGAGCTAAATTCATGCACAAATTCCTCCTCCAGTTTTCTGCCAGGAGAGCCTTGCAATTCAGTGAATCTGTTCCACATGGCGGAAATGTGGTTGTCATACCTGTTGCTGATTGGAAGCGGTGGGTTCTTGGTGAGGAAGAATGACAGCCACCAGTCAGGGAACAGCAGCCCCATGGAGGTCCCCCTCACTCAGGCCTTCAGTGTGGTGGCACTGGGCACAGCAGCAGCCCTCCACCCTCAGAGCCCTGCACATCTGACTGCTGGTGACCCTGAGTCAACAAATGTCATCACAGAAGTAGGTGGCTCCTGTGTTAGGTTGAAGGAGACAAGAAAATGTACAATAGAATTTTAAGACATTCATAAAAAACGGGAACAGTATTTAGTTTGGGGGTTTACTGCAGTAAACCCACAGCCTTTAGAAAACTTGCAGACTGTCTCTACTGGTTTTGGAGAACAGAGGGCTTAACTTGTGTAAGTTTCTGGTTTCACCAGCATCTGGGATCATTTGCTTTTTGTCTGTCCAATGTTTAGGGACAAGCCATTCAGAACTCAGTGCTGTAGTTCAGTAGCTCTTAAGCTCTCCCTCTCCCCATGCATCCTCCGCAGCCTCAAACAAAAGGCTGTAGCGGAGAATAAGTATTATGATCCATTCATCAGAAGAAAGCTCAGAGCAGATGATGAATGCCTGCACCCAACAGCACCACCCTGAGGATGCCAAGGCCCTTGGCTCGGTGATACTCAGACTCGCTGATACTCAGACTCGGTCAGTGTCTGTTCCGTAGTTTCTCGGCAGCCTGAAACATGGTGAGAACCCACCAGATGCCTGTGGCATCTGTTTCAGGCATTCCACAGCTGTGACAACTCCATGCTGCCTCCCAAAAAGTTCTGGCTACACTGAGTTACTATCTCCATGTCAGTGTTTGCTGTGAATCAGCCCAAGCTGAAGTGACCAGAGATGCTTAGCTGGTGACCTCATGCTGCTGTGGATTGGCAGAAGGACTGTGTTTGCAAGTTCCAGGTCACTCTCAAGTGTGTGAGCCTGCTTGTGGGCTTCAGGTTAGAACCTTGCTCTGAATTGAAGAGAACAGAGGCCCTTCTGCTCCAGCACTTGCCATGTAGGCAGATGGGCCTGTGGTATCAGAGCCTTACCCCTCTCCCCTCCCTTGGATCACTCTGCAGTTCCCTTCATAGGACTTACCATCAGTACATCGTATTTGATGGACTTTTTGTTTTGTTTTTTGAGACAGAGTCTCGCTCTGTTGCCAGGCTAGAGTGCTGTGGTGCGATCTCGGCTCACTGCAACCTCCAACTCCCTGGTTCATGGGATTCTCCTGCCTCAGCCTCCCGAGTAGCTGGGATTACAGGCATGCATCACCACACTGAGCTAATTTTTGTATTTTTAGTAGAGAGAGTTTTCACCTTATTGGCCAGACTGGTCTTGATCTCCTTACCTCATGATCCACCCAACTTGGCCTCCCAAAGTGCTGGGATTATAGGTGTGAGCCACCGCATCTGGCCTTAATAGGCTTATTTGATAGGAGGCTGCTTTTCCCAAATTGTGGGCTTTTTTGGGTTTGTTTTTTGAGACAGGGTCGTACTCTGTCACCCATGTTGGAGTGCAGTGGCGCAATCACGGTTCACTGCAGCATCTGCCTCCCCAGGCTCAGGTGCTCCTCCCACCTTGGGCTCCTGAGTAGCTAGGACTACAGGCATGAGCCACCACACCTGGCTAATTTTTGTTTTTTTTGTAGAGACGCAAAACATGGGGATTCGTCATGTTGCCCAGGCTGGTCTCAAATCCCTGGGCTCAAGCAGTCCTCCTGACTCAGCCTCCCAAAGTGCTGGGATTACAGGCATGAGCCACCACACCCAGCCAGTCATGGGCTTTGTGAGGGCAGAAGTGTCCCTGTCTTTTGTCCTCACCTTCGTGTATGGCAACCGTCGGTTCTAGTGCTGCCCAATAGAACTTTCTGTAGTAATGGAAGTGGTATCTGTTTTGTCCCGCATGGTAGCTACTAGCCACATGTGGCTATTGAGTACTTGAAAGGTGACTTGTGCAACTGAGGAAC